CCGTTTTATTGTCAACACTGTCTCAAAAATACCACATGTTTTTAAAAATGCATCTGTGCTGCTACGTTCCCATTTCAACGGTCGCCATGGCAATAAACATGCGAACAGAAAAATCTAGATCTTTGTTCTTTTTTGCGGGAAGTGAAATTTTTACTGTTATGGCGAATGTTATGCATTAAAAATATGAAATATTACTTATAATTCATGTTAAAAATAATTAATGTAACAACCAAATCTAAGTACGTTTTATTTTTATTGGTGCATTGAAGAAAAAAAAAACGAGAAACGCCAACGGTTGTGTTCATGTGCCCAGGGAACATGCACCTGATATAACATGACAGGACTGCTGCCAGCTCTGGAACATATCGTATTTGAAGATCATTATACAGATTACCCACATTCACAATAATTAATAAGGTATTGTAAAGGTCTATTAAATTTTTAGTTCAAAATATACCACTTTTTTGCCCGTTTTCTACAGCTGTTCTATTTTACTTCGAAACATTCCATATTTTCGGCTTTACATTTGAAAAAGTGGGCGGGCCTACAAAAAAGGATCAATCAGATTCTTTGTTGGATTGCGCAATCGACAGTCAGTAAGATTCAATTGTATTTCATTCATATTCATCAGTATCGTCACTCAACGCATCACAATATCGGCCGAAGTGTGTACTTTCAAGCAAGATTTGTGATAAAAGGCTGCAGGATCTAAAACTACCGCAGCGGAAGTAATTTCCAATATTTTTTTTTCTAATTCTATTCATCCAGAATTATCATCTTTATTGATTATGAATTGATAAGATAAATATAAAATTGATTCTCATTATTGCATTTTAAAAGTCCTATATTCCTATATATCTGTGCATTGTAAAAGCAAGGTCATTCTATCGCTATTTGACGTGACGTTACAATACAAAAAATGACGTTCCTATTGCATTTTTCTATTAAAACATTGCCATATTGCAAGACCATGTTTTTAAAAAATAAAATAGATATTGAAAAAAGAAAAACGGTTATGAAAAGCTTCAAGTCTATACTATCTATGATAAAAATTGCGTTAATATTTTGCAAGAGGCATTTTTTGATAGTTCGTGGACTTTGCTCTTTCTAAGTCTCTCAGAATGTAAATTTCTAAATCTCTCTTTCTCAGCTTTCGTTCTGTTTATCTCTTCCTCTAACCTGGAACATTCAGCAGTAATATTTTCAATCTCTCTGTCTAATTCTCTCAAATTCAAACCTCGAAATCTCTCTTGCTCAGTATCAAAACGAACGCTTCTGTTAGAGCGTGCTGGAGTAGATGTCTCAAAACCCCGACCATATCTTAAATCCTCTGACGACATTTCTAATTTAATTCAATTCTAATTAAACTAAACTATTTCAAAACAAAGTAGTTGAAAAAAATATTATCAAAGTTTGAAATCCACAAGTGAAACTATTTACAACATACCTCACTCTAAGCCCAAGCAAAAGTGAATTTATTTTACCCAACAGAAAAAAAACAAACAGGTTTTACTAGACAATAGATTTCAGCCAAGCCCGAATCACTGAACAGGACTCACATCGTGTAGCACGTGTCTATACAAGGCACTACCCACGACAATGAAAATCCTATCCTGGTCACGGTTCACCAAATAATGTAGCAGGTCTGGTGTTCATATAGCCTGTACTTCGCGTTGTGTTTATTTTTGTTTTGAGACGACTTTCTGAATATAAGACCTCTACATTAGATATACCTTGGAAATATTTGTAAATGGTAATGAACTATAAAAGAAAATAAGATTAACAAGACTTTACAATTTATTACCAATCTTACAGTACGTTATAATAGTACACAATATGCAGACCTTATTTCCAAACCCAAATATGGCCTAACTTAACCCAAATATAGTCTAACCTAAGTAGTAATATAATTTAATTAAGACAGACGAACAAGGGACGATTCCAGTATATGAAGAGTTTAGCTAGCGAAGCCAGCTGTCTCCCTCCCCGATCTAATAGTTACATAGCTTTATATATGAAAAAGGAACAAAAGAAACTGTCAAAAACCTTATTGGCCGAAAGATAAAAGTGGGCGTTTCCAAATAAAACGTGGACAATTTACATCGGGATCGAAATGAAATAATTATGAAAACGTAAATAAACCTAATTTGTCACAATTCGATTGTTCTCATTTTTATGTAATTTTTAATCATTTTTACAGCACATTTTGTTTCGGAAAACATAGGGCACAAGCAAAAGCCTATCTACAAAATTCATAAATTTTATAAATTAGTATCAGATGCAACTCATTTGTTTAAAATCGCAGATAGGCAAGCTTGTGCTCTATGTTTTTCGGAGAGAAAAGTATTTCGTATATGAAGAAATTCTACCAAGAAGAAATGAGGAAAATCGGGAAATCCTACTTCTGCGCCCTCTAGTGGCTTCTATGTAAACCTTGAATCCAAATTAGTGCAGATTTTAAAGCAGGCAACATTTTAAGTTCTGAACAACAAACTATCACAATTTTACCAGTGCTCTGATTTTACATCAAATAAGGGACCAGATTTGGTCGTTATCCTACCTTGTCCTTTGGTGGTAAACAATTCTCGAGAGGGACGTTAAAAACAATATGTAATCAATTGCATAATTGCCAACATGGAGCTCAGAATAAAAAGGTGACAGCAAATCACAAAGTTCTGGTAAAAAGAACCCCCTTCAATGACAAAAGCCTTTGCTGTAATTAAAGATAATAAGGTTTCAATGCGAAATGTATTTAAAAAAATTATTTTGGACCCCCCAAAACAATGACCAGTCTACAACAATTTATCAACAATAAAAATATGTGAAGATGGAATAAAACACAGGCCCCTGGAAATCTTAGTGGTCGGATCAGGTGCTGAGAAGGAGTAAGCATCGTTTGCTGACTGATGGCAGTATGTATTGATGAGGTGGACGAACATCCCGTAGTCAAATTTAACTTGAAAGGAAAGACCTAAAAATTACTATGAAATACGTCAGCTAAATTACGACTCAATGATGAGTTATATTTGCATCCAAATTAATAAAAAAATATAATCATAAAATTTCTGAGGAATCAACGTATTAGTGACTATCATGCCTCGCTTTAAAAACTGATCTAATCAGAGTTAACTCTTGAATAGCGAATAAACTGAGAGACATAAATACCTTCAAGAGGCAATAGTGAAATATTACTACAAAGATAAGAAAAGTTCACGAAGTGATCTCGCTTGTCATACATATTAATTATTTCATCTCTATCTTCTATAATAAGTAAAACATCCAGATATGAAATAGATCTTGAAAGCCCTTTTTGCGTCTTTCATTTCAAGTTCTCTTGATTGAATATATTAAGTTAACATAAAAATGAAAGGAACTATTCTCAAAGTATCAAAATAATACTGAAGTCAATTAATTCGACGAACTGTTTGAATTTCGAGTGTCACTAAATTCGCTCCTATATTAACTGGCATGTTTTGAAACTCCTATGAAGCAGAGTTTCATGCTTCCACCATATTTCAATTGAAGTCTTCACTCTGCTTTTTACAACTGATACTACTATCTCCAAACTATTATCTAATAAATACAGTCCTCTAAAGCGTTCTTGCTCTTCTTTTTCGTTCAACTACAGTCTCGTGGACATGCCATTACCGCTGATAGAACTGTAGGCATTAAATTACATGAAGAAGGTAAGAAATTTAAAATAAGCTTCAATGCAAACTTGCACAGATGTAATATCATAAAAATAAAAATAACGGAAATATACATTTATATCAGATTTGCATATCTATCTTTGTATTTTAACATAAGAGTAAATGCATTTGAATGTAAAATGAATGAAAAAGAAATGTGAAAAGATGGAGGAAGCTCACAATAACTACATCTATTATTCAAATGTATGTCCTCTAAGATTCATTTTCATACAAACAATGTGTTATTTATTTCCTAGAGGAATATCAATAAGTAATAAAACTTCGAATATTTCGGAATAAAATAAAATGAAACAACAACAAAAGGAAAATGGTATATCAAAATTTGAATGCAGAACATTTATTTTTGGATGTAAAAACAACCTTTAAGAAGTACTTCAAATGCTTAGTTAATATAATCGATCCTTTTTATTTGAAATATTCGTTGAAACAAGCAATCATTCAACGATTGCCAAAAAACCCTTTTACTTAATAATTCATCTTCACTAAAAGTACAGACAAAAATGTCTATGTAGATAAGGCTTCATAAAGAAAAAGTCCTTCTTCTCCGGCTGTTGATTTATATATCAAAATCTATCAGCCCTTCGTCATCAGCATAGAAATCACATTTCCAGATTTTGTAATTCTATAGGATGCTTTTGTAATAATTAAAATCTCCATTAACTTCATGGTAATTTTGCAATTAATTATTGTGTTACCACTTCCAACATTTCTCTTGTCAAATGGTCATACAATTGGACAGATTTATACGACTTATATTTAGCTGTATTTTGATAGCTATTTTAACAAATATAAATTTCCATAAATTCAACAGCTGATTCATGAAAAAATTAAATTGTTTTAAATATATGTCGTTACTCTTGAATTATCTTAAAGATATACAATCAAAATAAAACCTCAATTTTTTCTACGATTGACTTTCTCTATGAGAAAATTGTTAAATATATGATATTATTATATGTACTTGCGATAATTTTTTTCCTTTTGCCAAAGTGACCTCGACACACAAATACTGCTTTGAATCAAATCAGAGACGCAATTCATTTATCTATTTTTGTAATTTAAAAACCTGTGTGAAACTGAAATGTTTTAAAGGAACTAAAGGAGAACAATTTGCATAGGGATAAAACACCATTACATTTTATTGTTTTAAGGATGAACAAGTGAAATTGAAAGATATCAAATTTACATTCGTTTGATATTCTTATTTTTTGACCAAGGTCAATGTCATTCAAGCAATATATAATCACTGTTTCAAACATCTTTACTTCCTTGAGATTTAACTCTTTTTTGGGGGAGGATTAACTTTGAGATGCTTTTAATTTACATTCTACTTTGTGTATTGGTCGTTCAGGCTGAATTTGAGAATGAGAAAGAGCTTATAAAACTTCTGAAGACCCATGATAGTAAGATATAATTTATAAAGTAATTGAAATTGAAATTTGATTTTTATTGGACGATTTCTTGCTCTTTTTAAAGGTTTATAATTATAAAGAGAATGAAAACGCGGGATTTCAATTTTTGAATTGATTAAACTTTCGCTATTACAGATTATACCATCAAATTCTTACAATTCTATGTGGATGGTATCTTTAAAATGCTTTCGATTTAAATAAATAAATTTAAAAAATAATACAACTTTACATAACGTTATGGAATACAACAAATAATTAGAAGTTGTCCAATGCATTTATCACGTGAAAGTTTTATTGGGAGAAATAATTGAAATTCAAAATACTCTCTAATTTAAAAATGTACAAATTAAGCGTATTATAAAGATTTCCTTGTATTAAGATTAAGTAAAAATTCTTTCAATTTTTTTTAAGGAGGACAGTCCAGCCAATCAAAAAGTCAATGGCAGTTTAAACAAGTGAAAGAAAAAGATGATAAAATTGGAAAAAAGAAAATTGTCTGGAGAGGTTGGGAAAAGTTACAGAAACCTGGAAAGTGGCATAAAAATATGATAAAAGAATGGGTAAGCAGGAGGAGGTATTTTTAATTTAAAAGCTAAATGAGTGAAGCATGCTGATGATTCTTACAACTTACTTTCTTCACTCAAAATGTACATTTATATGTGTTTATACATGCATGATCTCCTCATAATGGTTTATGTTAGAATGTGGCTTTTATAAAATAATTTATAATTATTTTTCAAATCACCAATGCTTGTCAAACTAAACCAATAGATACTTATTTTTATCATGTATTTCACTTAACTTTAGTATGAAGTATATGAAGATAATGAACAGTATTTAAGCTCAAAAGCCCATTTACAATACAAATCAGGAGCAGAGCAAACACGGGCCTCTAAAGCTCAGAGGTGGGATCAAATAATATGGATAAGTGAGCATCCTCTGTTGACCATCATACCCACTATTTGCTCCTTGTTATGATCATAAAGTAAAGGAGAATTCTGTCAACAATTCGGTATATAAATAATGTCCTTACAATATTAATAAGCATGAAACACTTGAGTTGCCATTTAACTTATTGATAGATTGTTTTGTTGGGAAAATCATCTTATCGATCATAGAACTAATGTACTAAGGACTTTAAACAAAACTGCTGATATTCTTGTGTCATCAACTTCTTTGTCAATAACTTACTTTGTTTTAGAAATTGTTCACACGACATTGCAATTGTGAAATAGTGAAATTTTGGGGGAAAATATTTTTTTAAGGAATTTTGGACCGATCCCGATCAAAATTAAAATGATCACGACCAGAATTAACACAGAATTGATAAAATACTTAATTGTTGCCACCTTCTTGTATTTGAAATTAAAAACTCTACTTGATTGTCATATTCAATATTTTTTAATTCATAGCAAATCAGTATTCTTGGAAAATGCTATTTATTTCCAATAATTTTAAAATTCTCGTTTGCTTCAGTTAAGTTTGATTAGGATTGGCCAAAATAATTTTTTAAAAACATCATGTCTTTTAAAATTTTGCAATTTAATTTCAATTTCTTTTTAAAATAATATTAACTAACATGTTCTCCTTATTTTATGTTTTTATGGTTTTATTTGGTTTTTTGAAGATTTTAGCCACATATATAAATAAAATATTCACAAATAATGTGTATTATTTTCATAAATTTTTATCAGAAAAAAATCAAATGTCTCTAAGGCTTTTCTTTACATATTTTATGATATTCGTTGAATGCAATAATTTACAGCAAATTTTTTACTCTCAGTGAATTAAATTTTGAAATAAATCACTAATATCAGCCTTTTTATGCTGAAAACAATTTTTATAGTGATGTTTTAGAGATCTATAAATAAAACTGTTGCGTTATTCCTCCTTAAATGTTTGTCAAAAATCATAACATAAGCTGTTGATTAATGGTTTTATATACCTTTAATTTTGAACAAGCCATTTTCATTTTTACTGATTGTTTTTTTTGAAGCATAATTCAGTATATTTATTTTTAAAAATCGGTTTCATTATTGATGTACTGATATTATCCTGAAATGTTAGTGCATATTTCCTCTGCAACAAAGAATTTCAAAAAGAAGTCTCACAAAACAAAATTTATTTTGGGTTTACACGATAAAGTGGCGTCGGTAGTCTAGTGGTTAAGGTGCCGGACTCCAAACCAAAAGGTTGTGAGTTCGAATCCTGGCCGCGGCAATTCGACGTTGTGTCCTTGGGAAAGGCACTTTACACGAATTTCTTCACTCCACCCAAGTGTAAAAGGGGTACCTGGCTATAGACAGTGAAAGATATTGTCAGAATGTTAGTGTTCTAGCGCTGATTACGGCAGCTTGCACTGAGAAAGATTCTGGATTGTTAAGGTCTGCTGGGGTAATAATGATTGTAAAGCGCTTTGAGTAGCATTTATGCTAGAAAAGCGCTATATAAATCCAATCATTATTATTATTATTATTATTTCAAAATGAAATCTCAAAATTGCTTTCTGTTGAGAAGAGAAACAGAATTCAGAAAGCATTATTAATCATTGACATCTGTACAGCATAAAGTATCTAGAATTATTTAGAAGTATAAAATGCTTTTAGAACTTTTGAAAAGTATGAAAATATGAAAACGTGAAGGTTACAGTCAGTTATCTTTATTAAATACATAAAAAAATCATAAAACGTTAACAGGGTTAAAAAAAAATGACCTTTGGAAATACTAGACTAGAGTTAAAAGGTGCCTAGGAGGAAAAGTATGGCCTGTCCCGCTGTTATTTTTTTAATTAATAAAATAATCCTCTTTATTAATTGTGATATAAAATTGCTTTTCTCTACTAGTATGACCACCCCCATAGCCAAGATGACGCAATAGCCGATCTCCTGCAGACGATGGTTGTATTCGATAAAAACGGAAAACCGCATATGGTCTGGACTTTTGAAATATAATACTGAATTATGAAATATCATTTTCGTTTCTTAAATAATTTGGAATTTTATATTTACTGCAATATATACAAATTGAAAAGAAGAAAAAATATTAAACAGTCTGTTTTTTTAATATATACATGTAATTGATTTAAATTTGAATTTTTTCCTAGCCCAATGGAATACACCCTTCAAAGAAGAAATCAGCAATTGCAGAAAAATTTGATGGGCATATTTATCCTCAGGTAAAGTTTCAGAATATATACAACTTTACACATACATTTCTATTATCATTTGTTTGTTCTTTCAAGTGTTATGCAGGAAAGACGAATTTTGCGTCGGAATAGACAGAATGTCGGATTACACAGGTGTCGGATTAGAAAGTTTTCACTGTGTATTCCTTTGATAATTTGCATGATTTGATTTGGGCCTTTGCTATCCCCTCTGTCTCCTTACCTCCCCTCTCTCACAAGTCCTTTAATTATGAAAGCTTCGTTGATGCCTTTTTTATATCTTGTGACCTGATGACCTGTTTTTTGATAGAAAGGATAGTTTTTATTACGTCAATAAGTTTGATATATATTTCAAATATCTAAGGACCACTTTAAATTTACATTGCTTGCGGACAAAAGTTGTATTCTGAATGGTATATATACATTTATATATTAAATAAAAAAGGGCGTAGATGAAAATATTTCTTGCAGGTGACTAAGTTCCTTTTAATACTGATAACCATCACCTTGTCTCAAAAAGTGAATAATCGAATTCCATTTACGTTAACAGAAATAATGTATCAAACATTAATGAGATATTTATAAAGGATATACAAAATACCTTCACTTTGATAAAAAAAAAAAGATAGAATATATATGTGCAAATAAAAAGGAAAAAGAAAAGCTTTCCAAAAATTTAAAGCCTTTGCTAAATTAAAGAAAAAGAAACACCAATAAATTAACCCCAAACCATCCCTTGAATTGGCCTAATATAATGGTAACCTTATAAACCGTAGCTTTATTCGGTCCATGCCCTAATATTTACATTTGCAAATGTTTTCCTTTACATAACACTACTGAAGGCAAGCGTTTTTATAACTGTGTAAATACAGGTTTGGGGTCAAGAGGTCATAGATGTGCGTTTGGATAAACGTTCCACGTAATTTCTCTGTGACGTCATAAAGGGTCGACGCGCGTTTAGTGGATTACATACATGCCGTTGGGTTTGAAAAATTAACGCATTTCACACGTTAAAAGTAACAATCAGGCAAATATAAAGTATGAATAAGTCACAAATGTAAATATAAGTAATAAGGTATCATTTTTTGAGTTTTATTGAGATGTAAAACGGGTTGACACATGATCAAATCTTCCATAAAGCCCTTCGGGCTTTATGGGATTTGATCACGTGACCAACCCGTTTTACATCTCAATAAAACTCAAAAAATTATACCTTATTTCTTAAATAAAGCCTGGTGCATGCATTCTAATGCATTGTGACGTCATAAACATTGCAGTGTTACGTCTGCCTTTTTGTTTCAACTGCAGAGATGTACATAAATTGGCTGAAAATAGCTTGTTTTGGTGCTCTGATATAAAAATATAGCAGGATAAGCAAAATATATGATTACTTATGGATTCGTTTGTTAATGATTTCATTCTAAGCAGCCTTACTCTGTGTTACAATCGGCATTAGTAATGCACAAATTGCTACCCATGGCGTTACTAAATCTTTTAATCAGAACTTTACCAAAGATCTGTTACCCCACTATCGGTAACCAAGCTTCTACCACAAACGCTGACCCTCTCACGCTAATGATTGATTGATCGAATAAATGTTGTTTAATGTCCCTCACGAGAAGGTTTCACTCATATGGACACGTCACCACTTGCCGATGGAGAGCTACAAATTTCGGGATTATTTTCGAAAATTTCAAGTGCAGCAAATAATTTTTACACTAGTATGAATTTTTGTCGACATAATTCACTGCTGTATCACCTGACATTAATTTCACCAGTACAAGGCACATTATGAAACAATAATTAAGTCTTCCAGTAGATATAATAGTCAAAGAGTTTTGTGTGTATTTGCGATGTGTTACAAAAAATTAACAAGATGCAATCTCTTGATTGTAGTTACGTTTAAAATAAATCATGAAATTATAATATTTATATTTGAAAATAATGGAATCTTTACTAAAATGATCTATTAAATTCGGATAAATATGGCTATAAATAAAAAACAAACTCTGTAATATTAATACAATCTCATCTTTGAACGAGAAGTTTGTTGAAATGTTTTATAAATTACCCTTTATTATGAAATGTACTTTCAGGATAAGAAGAACAAGTCAACGTCAGAGGTAAGGCAATACAGACTTGCAAATACTGGCTATTATTTTTAAACATTCAAATGAAAAATTATCAGAGAATCAAATTAGAAATTTATTACAGATAATTATTTTTTCCATAGTTAAATGAAAAAGTTTTATCTTTAAATCTATATATAATAAACAGTAAAAAAAAGTTGCAGAATTTTGCAGGATAAGAGGAACTTTGCAGAGCGTTATGTAAAGCTGTGGGACTATGGTTATATACCATACTATATTGACTCAAAATGTAAGACTACATTGCCTCCAATTTGTACTTTTTATTTATATGTTAATTACTATTTATAGATTTTCTTACACTTTCAAATTATATACATTAATATATATATATAAATATTAACAGATAAAATAACTCCTTCCCTGTTATCTATTTTTGTATCGTGTATGTGAAAAAAGGCAAATTCTATTTCTTAAACGTTGTATTTTAGATTACAACTTCCTTTTCTAAGCAATGCTAGAGAGCTTGAAATCATTTACGACTAAAGGCTAAGCACACATAAAACGATTTTGATGAAAATTGTGACACTTCTTTTTTATACAAACGCAAAATTCATAAAATTCACAAAAGAAATAAAATGAAACGCATAATCATTTACCATCCTGATCTGAACATACTGTATGAGAGATCTGATTAATGAAGGAAACAAACGAATCCAATTTTGAGGATTTTTTTTCAATCTTTGTGCACGTAAAACTCTGTCAACCCAAGACTTATATCAATGACGTCATTCTATGGTCAGCATTGAATAAACCCCAATCACCTTAACTGTCTGAGCATATGAGAAATCTGATTAATGAACGAAACAAACGAATCCAAATTTGAGGAAATTTGTTTCTATCTTTGTGCACGTAAATCTCTGTTAACCCAAGCTTATATAATACCCTGTAATGAAACACTTAATAAGTTTGTTGCAAGAACATAATGAGACATGGATTCGCTTGGCATCTTCAAATTCAGTTGGCCATAAAACCTGGACGAGGTAAATTTTTATCTCAGTATCACGTTTTTTTTTCAAAAGGATTACTTGAAAAGTGTGTCTGAATTCAAAAGTGCGATCATCTTAGTTTTCATGGCCCCCAGGCCAGGTCTCCATCTTGTTAAATTAAATCTGATGCAAAAAGTGAACATACACGATACTGAATTTTGCGGCAAGGAATTCTTTCTAGTTATTTTCTTTAAGACCAAAAAAACTGTAATTTTGTTCTGAACTCATAACATTTGTAAAGAAAATAAAAATGATAATTATGATCCTATTTTTAAGTTACTACACGGCAACGACAGATAGTGAACCAGGCGATCAGGGAATTTTCACAGAAGACATGTATACGCCTTGTCCCTGGTGCCTCCGCTGATTGGTCATCTCTTCCACACAAGGATTATATTTATTTCACCTACGGGTAAGATTTATGATATGAAATTGAAATATCATTCAAATTAAGACATCGAACCATGCACAAATATTTCTTTTTTTTAAAATAATGTCTCCTACATTAATATCTATTAATGTCTGTATGTGTTCTTTATACTCTGGTTTGCTCCTAAACTAGACTATGACCTAAAATGATGCTGAACTGCATCTCAAAAACTGAATTTAATTTTAGCCCATGAGGATTGGACATTTGCAGATTTTTAAACAACTTTTGCATTTTTTTTCGGTATTTCAAGTTAAAAGCCATATATTTCTACAATACTAAAATAATACTCTCACTACAGTTTCATCTATTTTTCTATTAAATATTCCAAATTATTTCACTTTTATGAAAGGTTTAATTAAGAAGCATAATTTTTTTTCTACATCAGAAAAGCATGCAGTTCCGCTGTAGGTAGAACAGGAAATGGGGAGCAGCGGATAGGACTGAATGCTTCGTATTGTTTTACGGTAAATTAAGTGCATTATATGTCATTATTTTACAAAATAAATTTTTTGCCGATGATGCAAGGTTAAAAAAATCAGTAAGACTTGGTTGATTAACTTAATTGTTGATGATTTAGATCAATTGAATGCTGGTAAGAAAGCAAAACATGTATGAACCAATATGCAATTCGTTTTTTAATAGGAAATTTTATTTTCAAAAATTCAGAAGCATTTTCCCACAAGGTACACACTATTTTTTAAGGCCAAATCAATGTTCCGTAAAATATATTACGAAATATCTTATCTCAATCCTTGTTATTCTAAACTGATTAATGTCCCTCGGTTTTTATTATTAGTTCATTGTTTTCCCTTTGTTTTAATAACTAGCAAAGGACAGTTATCCATGAAATTATGCATGCACTCGGCCAACTTCATGAACAACAGCGCAAAGATAGAGATGATCACGTGATCATGCACTGGGATCAAATAGAAGAAGGGAGACAAAACCAAAATATGGAGAGGCTCTCCTTAGGCTCCCACGACAGGACGCCTTATGACGTCACATCTATTTTACAATACGGATTAACAGTACGTGTGTTATAAAGTTTTCCTTTAGCCATATGAGGTATAGTTATAAAGTTAACATCAAAACATGTAGGTTCATAGTTTGAATTCACTTGTTTATATATTAAATTTTCAATCAATTAATCAATTTTTAGGAGGTATTGTATTTTTCCTCTGTTACATTTAAAACAGTCTTTTACTGTAATTAATTCATTAAATTGAAATATTCTTTAAAAGTTTCAAAGGATGGTATCGTAAAAGAATGTGTGACAAATTTCAGAAACGCAGAAAACTCTCAATTTTCGCTCCAATAACAAAGAGTGTTGTAGCAAAATTTTCCTTGGTTTGTTATGAGAGAGAGAGAGAGAGAAGGAGAAAAAAACAATTTTGACAGATAATTAAACTACCATAGCCTTCATATAAGTTTAAATCCACGTTTACAATCTCATATCACCTAGCTATGCCGTCTCAACCGCTCAGCTGTGACATCATATGGCCTATGATTGTATTACCCTGTACGAAATGTTCCGCCCGGAATGTAGGGGGAATAGAGGCGTACTTGGAGAGGGAATTCCGGGCGTCAGTTTGTTCCTCTCTATATTTAAGGTGTTACACAGAGGCTCCGGGCGTAAACCAAGCGGAAGCTAAGCGGAAACTGGCAGGAATTTTGAGGCGGAATATGCAAATGAGTTACGCCTGGAAAAATAAATGACGCCCGGAAAAAGATTCCGCCTGGAAACTAAAATGACCCCTGTATCAAAATTCCGCCTAGAATTATATAATACTATGTGACCTAAAAACCTATATATTAGCCATATTAACCAAGAAAACATTTAGGTGTACCTTGTTAAAGCTAAAATTTTAGCTTTTTGAACTGCAAGAAAATGTAATGACAGGGCATTTACATAGTATAGAAATATAATCTGTAAGACTTTTCCAATTTTTTGTGTAAGGAACTCCATCATGATCGAATGTCTAAGGATTATACACAAACTTTTTACAATACCCGTACATTTTACCACTTCAATATAATCATGATCTTGAAACAAGTTACTTAATACAGTTCTACATTATTACTCCGTACTTTACAGTTGGAGACTGCCTCTATCTGTTATTTATCTCAGAATGTGTGCAAGGAAACTCAAATATCTAAAGTAATTTTAGGGTTAACAAGTTATATATCTATAATTATACATAATCATAATCAAATTTACCCAAATATGTACCAGATATTAATAATAACACCTACCAGCAGATACTGTGTCATCCAGAAGAAGTGTAAAAGCCTCAACATTGAAATATCTGCATTTCCTATTTCACTCACACTTAAAAGTCCCTCCCTTCTTGATCAAATTCAAACTTAACTTCCTATCTGAAATGACCCTTCCTTGATAATTAAAATTGACCAATCAGAGGCTTTTACTTCTCCTGAAAGTTCCAGGCGTAAGTTTGGTTTTTGTTTTCCTGCCATTTTACGCCTGGAAAATCTGAACTTGCAAACTGACGCCCGGATATTAGAAATTACGCCTGGAAAACATCTCTTCTACTGAGGCGTAACTTTTCGAAAACTCCGTCTCCTGCTCAAGTACGCCCGGAATTTGCAAACTCCTGCTCAATTCCGCCAATATTCCACCCAAATTCCAGGCGGAATCCGCCTTTCAAATTCGTACAGGACAGTAAAGTTCGAGGCATAGGGAAATTGAAGTAATGTAAAAACAAAAATTAATTCATTATAGTTAAATAATATGAAATTTATTCTCTCATGAAACAAGATTTTTTTAATATTTGCATAACAAGTTTATTAACAGTTTTAAAAATATATTTTAATTAGAAATCCTAACCCGCTCGTAAAATAAATTCCATATTCAACAACAAAACATTGAAAATCCTCCAAATTCAATAACAAAACATTGATTATCCTCTTTATATTTCGTTAAAGTGGTAATTTTGACATGTAAGCATTACATTGTTAATATTGTGCACGACGTGTCGGATCTCCAACGATTTGTGATTGGATATGATTTTTTTATTTAACGAGTTGTGTCCTGATCAGAACATATAAGAGTTGGAAAAAAATCAAGACCAACCATATGCATAAATTATGACATATTTTTCTTATTTTATGTTTTATGCATCAATGTTTAACTTAGTTCTAATGTGAATCTATACTTTTTATAAACATCATCATTTTTAAGCAAAATACTTTGTTAGGTCACATCAGTGGGATATAAAAAATCTAATGAGTGATATACATTGGGTATAGGGGTAAATATGTGAGAAATGATGGTATAAATGTTATGTTGATGCGTTTTAATAAGTAATTTAGTATGCGTAGAGAATATTGATTCGAATGATTTAAAAAAAAAAAACTATTTATTGTTTTTATATAATATATTTTCAATCTACTGGCATTTCATTATACTCACCCTTAAAAATGAATTGATAACAAAGAAAATTCAATTCTATATATTCTTGAACTTTAATATTCCACCTGATACATGTAAAAACTTCCAGTAGTGTTCAAGAAATTTTTGACCCCTTGTTGGAAAGAATCATGATTGTCTTTATTTTAAAATGGAATTTTGCAGGCATTTACAAAAACAGGATTAAGGACGATGACTTTGAAGGACAAAAAATTAGAAGGCTTGGTAAAATCGTCAGAAGGTCTGACACATTTAGACGTGAAGGAAATCACTCTTGCATACCAGTGTTCATGTAAGATTTCCTATAATTAACTACTATCTATTTTCCTGCATGCAGCCTGGGAATTTCTTTTTCCTGTTTTAGTTAAGTAGAGAATAGACAGAGAAATAAAAGGGGGCATTTCTGGGAAAAGAGTAAATCCTTCCTTAAATTCTGTAAAATTATTTAAGTCCTATGTTTTGGTTAAACAGATTAGTATTGTTGAATTTTGATTGTTTCAAAGGTGCCAAAATAGTAAATCATGTACAGTGAAATATCACTGTGATTAGTAGTTTAATTAAATGCGTAGATAAGAAAACTAATTCAATTGATATTTTTTACAACTTAAGTAATTAAAAGAAAAATTAAATGCTTAACGAAATAAGATTTGCATCATTTAAAATCGGTGGAGTAATCGAATGACAAAATAAGATTCAAATCCTTGCGTTTTACAAAAAAAATTACATAGTCAAACCGATGACATTAAATATCTGAAATGTTAATTAAAAACTGAATATTTATTAGGAAAATTTATGAAGAGCAAAACACGTATTGTTGGTTGACTATTCAGTTTCTTTTTGTTATGTTGTAGCTAAATGTGTCAACAAACCATCTTGCCTCAATGGCGGATTTGTTGGTAAGAACTGCGATTGTGAGTGTCCTGATGGTCTAACCGGAACTATCTGCCAAGGAGTCGAGTCTGATGCAGGTAAGTCGAGTCTGATCCAGGTAAGTCGTGTTTTGATCTAGGTAATACATGTATGTAACTGAAGGCCATTTTAGAATACAAACGTGTATACGGGGAAAAATGGGAAGATCGATGCTAAGGTTAGATTTATATGATTTCCTTTTAGCGTCATCAAGAAAAATTCTATTAATCATTAATGAACTACATATAATTTACACTAGACTGCTCTTAATATACACGAATTTTGTGTTAAATATGCAATTCTGTAAAATCACATCCTTCTGTGGGGTCAGATTTTTGTGGGTTTTTTTTAATGAAAATGTGTTGGTTCCTTGGGTTATCAATTCGTGGTCAAAAATTTTTCAGAAGTAATATATGTGACAAATGTATTTCGTGGTGGACATAAATTCATGGGTCTCTTCATACCTTAAAAACCACGAAAATTAACCCAACGAAAATTAGTGATTTCATAGTAAATTGGTGATATTCGTTTACATGAAAAACAAAATTTCTTTTTTGAAACTACAGATACACAGTCATATCCAATACTAAGGTTACCTTTCCCAGATTGAAAATAAATCTGTCTGTTTGAGGTTTCTAGCAAAATTACTCAAAAACAATATTTATTTGCGAAAAAAAATTTTCTTCAATGTAACAAGAAAAAAAAAATTGTATTGTGATAAAAAATCACTATTTGTTAATATTGGCTATATCATTGTCTTGTAAGAAAGCAAAAATCTAAGAAAGCTAATATTTCTTATAATGCGATTGTTAATTACCGTGAAACATCAATTTTATGTTAAAGGTTGTGGTGGAATTTTGAATCTGAACTCAAACGGATACAGGGATTTGAAGTCAATCAACTATCCTAATGCTTATCCTGTTGACAAAGAGTGTACCATTTTGATAACGGTATGAATTGTAAAAATAATATCTGCTTTATTCAGCACGGGCTTTTCGTGATCTTAATTTACTGTGTTAAACATGAAAGCCCACCATAAGAAGCTTGGTTGAATGCTTAACTGAACTCTATTTGTCAAATATTCTCCTCATTTGTAAATTTTTATCTTCTTTGAATTTTTTCAAAGTAATTTTTGGTAAGGTAAAAAACATTTGTCGACAGGGTTTAATTGTGATAATTCAGATAAAGGAAATTGAATTTTAAAAATATACACGCTATAACTTGCGCCAGTTAAAATACGATTGGAAATTGATATAATTTGTTTATCAATAAAAGTTAGGAAAATACTGTAAACTACACCATTAAAATTAAACGCGTTTCAAAGTTATCAAATTATAATTTTTTATTATCCTGCAAGGAAAGAAATACAGCTATTTTTAAATAAGTCCATTACGTGACGCCGTCGCTACTTTTAGATTGATAAACACACGTGGCGTAAAGAAAACAAGGTAGGCCGTTTGAGATACTACTCATTTTTGACGTGGATGGCAAGCATCTTATTTAATGGTACTTATTTTTGAATGTATTCAGTATCAACCATCTTCTCTGTTATGACGCGTATTAACCTTATATTAATAACTGTCGTCAAAATGCAACATACCTCGTTGTCTGTGATTTCCCTGTGGACATGTGTTTCTATATATAGGCCTACTGTATACGTACTTCCTTCATTAATATTCATGAAAAGACTGAGTTCCTAATTCCTAGATATTGTTTAATTGTTTTGTTATTACAACGACATCTATAGTACAATTTTGTGGAAAGTATTATTTTTCATTACACTTCATGTGTTTTAAATCATTACTCATTTTGTTTCACACAAAATACGGCGTTATACAAAGTGTATATGACTTTAATTAATACAGAAAGAGATTATTTCCCATCTGAGAGAGTAAATAAATATATTGAGAAATGTAAGTTCATTTTGATCTTGCATCAGTTAATATACTCAGATTGTATGCCTAAAATGACATTGAATTTTAAATTAGAAGCAATGATAAATCTTTTATTATATTAAATTAAGCAGGGTGTCTATGAAATGTCTTAAATCAAGCAAGTAGTTAATGAAATGTCTGAAATTGTGACTGAAAACGAGTGCTCTTTTTTAGGCGCCAAAAGGATCAAAAATAAAACTTGAAGTGATGAACAATGAACTGAATCTGAGAAGATCTGCAAGTAATTACTGTTACCATTGGATTGAAGTTCGCTACACGTCAACAGAAATCAATGGTCCCAAGTAATTCATTTGTCTACTTTTATAAATATTTTCTCTGGAGCTTTGAAGTGTTTTATTTATACATAAAATTGTTGTTCGTTTAAATTGACATCATAGAAAAGATACAGAAAGTTTGTCTCATTTTCATTTTGTTTACATTAATATTTTATTTTGTTCAAACAAAATCTAGAATTGACATCAGGATGAGGTAAAATAAAAGGCCAATAAATTTTCCCTCCAGAATTATTAAAGGGGTACCGACCCTCTGATATGAGAGATAACTCTCAGAGACAGTCAGAATACAAAGTATGAATATTACTCACAGTTTTTTTTAATCTGAGTTTCCTAAGAAGACGGTACAGTTTGAGCTTTATTGTGCCCTAAAAATCTAATGTTCTTAAAAAGTTATAAAATTGGCTTTAACAATAGTTCAATAGATGAATATGATAAATCATTAAAGAATATGGCATGAAGAAGGGCCATTCTTGAAATATGACGTCATTAATTTGATACAATTTTAAGTTTAATGCAGAAAAGCTTCAAAATGACTCGTTTTCCCGCTAATTTTCCTTTAGAAAATAGTGTCTGCCACCTTCGCCCGCTTTAATTTTTGGATATATTGTGCGAACTGCTATGAAAAATCACATATCTCAAAATTTTTCCGGGCGACGGTACTGAAAGAAAATTTCACAAAATTTTTTTAATCTGCATTTAGGAGGTCATATAAGAAAAACAACTCGTGTATTCTTACTGAAGGGAATTCCAATGATTCAGAAGGAATGAATTTTAATTTTTTATATCACTTTCATATTTTTGAAAAATATAGGGCTTATTTTGTATTGAAACTGTACCTTCTTCTTTAGACCACTGAGTAGTCAATTCGATGAAATCTAACATGTGATTGAAACATTACTTTCTATTTCTTTTGCCAATCTCTTACTAATTGTTTTATTTTATTTAACAATAAAACATTTAAATCCTACTTCAAAAGCATTTTAAATTGAACAAGTTGTATTTTTTAAAAGACCATTTTAATAATGGTTTCAATGTTTCAAGTACTTGATACAGAATTTTTATAAGTATGACATTTTTTTCATATGAAGAAATCTTTAGAAGAAAGATAACTCCTCCTCACAGATGTATTTTTTTCTTGCAACCACATACAACATTGTAATTTTCTGACTTAGGAAGCATCGCTTCATGATGTTTTCTGACATGATTTTAATAGGTATTATACTAAGTTTTATTTTCATATACACCTCACATTTCAAATTAAATGTTATGATAATAAATCGTTACTGTTTCTGTTCTCTATGTTGAAATTTCTTTATATCATGATCTGATATAAAAATCATTTCTGAAAAGAATAAGCTGCGCTTCTTACATCAAACTATTTTCCATATGGCTCTATTGTCATTGTTGTTCATGAAAATCAACATTAGAAATATAAAATTTTCTGAGAGAAATTTGATAGCAGAGGGTCGGTACCCCTTAAGGAATGAAGCTTATTTCAACTTATATTATACGATATAACATAACTTGGGGCAGTTTACGCTTTATAAACCGCGAAGCGGTTTATAAAAAAGCGTCAACTGTCCGAAGTTTTGTTATATCGTATAATATAAGTTGAAATAAGCTTCATTCCTTATAAGTTAATTTTAGTACAGACAATGAGATAATTTTCCCCACAGAATAAGGCTTCACATTGATAAAATTTTAAAAGTAACGTCAAGCGGAGTAATACATTTTTTGACGTAACTCATTGTGAAGTAGGCAAGTTATGTTATACAAAATGGATAAAATCTTTTATCCAATCAAATGACTTGTTTCTGAATAAGTTCATTGTTTTTATCCTCAGACATTTAATGGAAGCGAAAAATAAATAGTCAGAGACGGATTATGTTAATATTGACTTTGAGATGGAAGACAGAGAAATGAGAAAAGTACTATGTATATTTAATTTGCATTTTTTCTTCTTTTTAAGGTTTTGCAATCCTTTCAGCCCTATTGTATCAGAAGGCAATCAAATGATGATACGATTCAATAGTAGATTTTCCAAGGATTATCTTCCTTACAGTGGCCAAAAATTCTTTTTAAGGGCGAGCACAGGTGGAGGTAATGAGCCACGATCTTGGTCACATATAAGTTTTAATTAATTTCATTAAATAGACAAAACACTGTTTAAATTAGCTATACCATAGATTTGTTGGTTCGGAAACTTTCCTCTAAAATACATGTATAATTATGTATGTCTAGTTCCATTCATATAAAAAAATCAAATGAATTATATGGGAAAAAACGAACAGTAGCTACAAATAAGAAGTAGAACAAACACGGACCTCCAATAAAAATGAAAGATGGGATCAGGTGCCATGAAGGAGTAATCATTCCATACCGACCAGCTACATCTGGCATGTGCTCCTTATCATGTACGGAAATTTTTAAAAATATGACTTAAATTTACATGTAGAATGAATAATTCCAGTTAGTATTGTTTTGTTGTGTTTGCTGACAAGGTAATTGTATCGACCATAGAATGTAGAAAAGGTAGTCATTAAGGAGACTGTTGATACTCCTGTTTATTAATTTGTTTATTGATAACTTAACCTCAATTTAGAAATTTATACATATAGAGCATCCACTTGCACATTTAATCAACTAAGAGAGATATATACCTGTGTCAAGACGACAAGCTTAAGGGTTTATTGCATTGAGTAAGGGAGGTCGATGATGGCAAATTCAAAGTCATCATGTTTATCGCGGAGCTTGGTTGTAATGTGACAAATTATACTTGACATCTTTTTCTAGATGCGTCAAACTTTGTGGTATCTTTAAATTCAAGTTCATTGGGATACACGATGGCGATATATGAATGGAAATAATTGATATTTATTGCTAAAACATGCAATGCGTTAATATATCGAAATGTGGAATTGAAGGCCACATTTTTTTCTTCATGTATAAGATTCTAAGATATGCTTTGTATGAATACAATTTTTTTCTTCCATTGGTACCCATGGGAATTCCATCAGATTGATGAAAAATTTGATCCTTTAAAACCACATAGATTCTGCAAATAAAAAAACTCAAGCATCTTCCATTAAATTTTTGTCTTTCTTTTGATAATACATGAAAACAGATGTATTATAGAAAATTGAATCAATATGATTGATCTTTTAAAAAATATTTCAAGGTTCACCATCAACCTTCAATAGAGCCTGCAATTTCGATAGTTCCAATACCTGCTGGATGATACAAACACGACTACAGGAGAGTCTGGTGTGGGAGTATCCGTTATTTTTGTTAAAAAAGTTTACATGTATAGGTTAAAGATAACATAATATTCATCATTAAGAAGTAAACATTTTTATATAATCGTCGAAAAAAATAGCATAATTATAATAGCTTCCTTTTCTGCCAAATCCAAGTTTTATTCTTTAAATAAATCACGTTACCCTGACATACACGCAACAACCACGAATTACATCTATATTTTGACTCGATAAGCGTCATCAAATAATTTTTAATAGAAATAAAAGATTTTTTTATGTTTACAAATGAATAAAAGACCTTAATTTTGTTAGATTCAATTGATTCTTGTTTAACTCCTTTTCAGAATAAATGGTGGTTGGATCCCCCAAGTGGAGCTAGAAATACCCCTGGTTATGCGTATATCGATACTGTAACAACATTTTCATTGGCTACACCAAGGAATACATTTACTGGTAATTATGTAGTTAGAATAATCTAACTGTGTCTCGGTACAAGCCCTCACCACAGTTAGAATACGTCCCATATACTTGCAATGTAGCAAATCGGAGCGGATCCGCTCCGAAACGATTTTGAAGAATATAAAATGATTTGCACTGGAAATAACTACCAAAATAATCAAAACAAACCTTCTTGAGATTGCTTATGCCTTTTGTCCCCCAAAAAATAATCCATATAAATACGAAAATCCAATTAATTTTCTCAACGTTTTTCTCTCGATTCAAATTACCTCCATGTTTACACTCGGAACTCTCTAGATTGTTCCTAGTAAATGCACTATGCGAGTTATCGCCCGTGTTTCTTTTGCTACATTACGAATACACGGAACGAATTCTATCATTAAACCGGGTCCGTAGGACAATATCATTTTAACGATAGAACATTCTATCTAGTAATTATGTAATATTTTCATGAAATAACATAATGTTTGTGGTTTTCGTTTGTTACTTACTTTCAGTAAAATTGTACAGTTTACGAATAAAGTGACATGTTTACATCTTAAATACATGATTATTGTCTTGAAATTTTGGCGAGGGGAAGAAACGTGATAACGGGCGAGGCTTTCCGAGCCCTCTATCACGTTTTCGACCCAAGCCAAAATATTATTACTGAATTTAGACAGTTAATCATAAAAAATAAATTAACATTGGATATCAAAACAGAGCTATTTTCAGCGGATTAAAATATAATCTTTCTGCTGATAAAACAATTACGCCGTGTCGTAAACGTAGCAATCTATGTGCATATATGACATGATAATGATTTAGGAACATCAGAATACACGCATTAGATTTTATGTGTTCTTTAAATTAAAAACAAAATTTGTGATGTTTATTTTCCAATATTATCTGGGTAACATTAGCCCATACTTTGTTCAATTCTTGAGAGCATATGAAATGTTTCGATATTAATTTTGACTTCCAAAATGTTTAACTGACAGTTTTTACGATACTAAATTTATTTAAAAATTTGAAATGAATTAACTTCCCTCTGCGGTTTAATCACTGCAATTACGAACATATCTTCCAGGATTTTTTTTTGGCTCCAAATTTCTACGTAGTCATTCGGGATTATTTCATTTTACATATAATATGTTATCTGCCTTTGTTTTATTTTGCACTCTCATCATAATTACAGAACGTTAAATTTATCAAACATTGAACGTTCGACAATCATTTTAACGATTGAATTCTCTCCATTTCAATTTAATGTTTATCCTCCTTAGTAAATACTGAGGTATTCTCTGGTCTCTCGAAATAGCTCTTTATAAGTACATGCTTACTTGAAATTAATTATTGCATCCCCAAAACACTTTATTATACCGCTTCTCTACACATAGATGGAGACTACTGCCTTAAGTTCAGTTATTATATGAAGGGTTCGTCGGTTTTCATCGGTCTTTACGACACTAAATGGATCTGGCATTCTAACACACCCTCGGAGGGATATTGGATGGCGGTAACCGGAAATTACAGAGCGTCTGCTTCATCTGTTCTGGTGAGCGCCCTCTGCCTTGTACATCGTTAAATTTAGTTTATCCTAGAGAAAAGGTTCCAAACTGTATTAAAGACTCTAGCTGCAGATCTGTAGCTGCTGGTCCGAAAAAAATGGGATGTTCGACTAGAGAGCTACAGTGTCACGAGTTGAAAAAAGTGTATATTTATTGTGCACATATGTGCGTTGTTTCTCAATTTATTTCTAAATATATCTAAAAATATTACTTACATGCGTTACTCACATATACATACATGTTTGTTACAAATATATTCTTTGGCTACTTTCACAACCAGACTCTATGTGCAAGTCATGCATAAAAGGCGTTGGACCTAATTGTCTTGCTAACCAAGATAACAGAATATATGGCGAAATTTTCTATGATTATATTTTCAGACCTTTGGTTTGGGGTAGTAGTGAAAAATATATGTTAGAAACACACATTTTGTAATATTTTGAGATGGAAGTTGAAAAAAACCCTAGTGAAATAAATCGAAAAACATCGCATTTTTTTCGCAATAAATTTTACTTTAATTTATCAGCAAGTGACAGTGTAGCTGTCAGGTCTGTCAATATATATTTTTTCTTCCGAGAGCTACAGTTCTGCAGCTATGAAAAAACATATTCCACATTTCAATAATACTTATTAACTCAATTTACACAAATCATTTATTAAATTAAGGGATTAAGAATCAAAAGTTAAACAATGGTTGTAGTTTATAAATATTACATTTTAGGCACAATTAAATGGATTTTTTTCTTCCTTCAATCACAAAATTGGATATTATATTATAATATTATTATATTGTTTTGTTGTTCTTTCTTCTTTTCACTTGTCAGCAAATATATGGTGCTCTAAATTCCACCGGAATGATAGCGGTAGATGAAGTAGAGATAAAGAGTGGAAGATGTTAAAACCACAACAGACTTCAAAAACACCATAAGCTTGCACATGACCAGTGTCAGTCTTCTCGTTAAAGTTATTTTGTAAAGTATCTGTATATTGAGGACAATCTGTATACCAAGAGTTGTCTTTTCTTTAACTGTTTATTTTTTATGAGAAATCTATTTATTTAGGATCGCATGTAAAAAAAATGTATTCCCTTTCATTTTATTTCTGTGAAGTATTTATTTACGATGGTATGCACAAAGAAGTTGTCATTCCTTTAAAGTTTGAAGAATCTCAGTCAATGTTCTAAGTCTCGAATAATAATAATTATAATAATATAATATATAATATAATAATTTATATATGCATTAGCCGAACATTGTAATGGTAAAAATGTTGCTTTGAAAGATTAAATAAATAAATGGACACTAAATTGCTTGCAGGTTTTGCCAAATATTTTTTATTTCTTCAAATGTGAATATTTATTTGGTTTTTTCTGTTTTTAAATTCGAACCCGTGACGTAAGGATCAACTCCTTCCTTTGCAAGTCTAAGATAAAGAAGAATTAATTACACTGGCTAGAGAGATATCTTTATATAGAAAAAAATGCTCATTAATGTATTTTAACCTTTCATTATTTTTAAAGCCTAATTAAGATAAGTTTGTAATTTTTCTAAAGAAGTGCTTTTGGTTTATCATTGAGGTGATATCTACTTTTGTAAATTACACTAAGAACAATTATTTTAATTTTTTAATGGACTTGAAGTTTTTAAGTATTTAATACAAGAAATTGTCTAATGTGTAAAAATAACAAAATCTAGTGGAAATTATTTGGCTAACAAAGTTTATACATTTCATGTTGCTAATATAAATTGCACAATTGTCATTTATAATTAATGTTAAATAAAAAAGGGCATCTTTTTGAAATTATGGAAACAACGAGCAATAATCAAGGTCAAGAGCCCATTGAAATCTTACAAATCGGGAGCAAAGCAAAAAAGGGGGCTCCAAAGACCTCAGACGGTAGGATCAGGGTCCGTCGTCATAAAACATACTTAAGTCTGAGAATGCTCTCAAGTCTGAGAATTTTCTCAAATCCAAAATTCTCAGACTCAGTGGCCGTCATAGAAAAGCTGAGAAAAATAAAAATTCCTTAAACTCCGTTTTATTCTCTAATTCTCAGCTTAGTAATTCTCAAGACTTGAGCTGAGAATTTTTTTGAGAATTCTCAAAGCATTATGACGGCGGACCCTGGTGCTATGAAGCAGTAAGCATCTCCTAAGATTTTCCAATATTTCCAGTATTTTTGTAATCCAATTGCAAACGATTTTTTTTTCAAAATTGTAAGTTCACTAAGCTGATAGAATGCCGACAATTAACCTTTGCAATTCATAAATTTCATAAAAGGTACATTTATCGATATTTTTAGACTAACTGTTAATAATTTCAACTAAGTATTCAAAGCTGCTAATTTTATTACAATAAAATAACACAATTCTATTTTCATTTGTTATACAAAAGTAGCTGAGTAGAGCATTTTCTATGCAAGAAAAATATTAAGATTAAGTTTTTAATTATGTACATTATTAATTATATATATGACGTTAAATTTCAATGTTAAAGTTGCCGTTGCAAATTTAAAATAAATGTAACTCTGGATATTTTCAGAAGATATCAATTCGTTGGTTCCCTTTGAAAAATATTTGCATAAGAATAAATTGATAGAAGCAATTGTATTGTCTACTTCACGAACTTGACCTTGTAATCACCTATGCATACAGAATGGTTTGCAGAATTAATTCAATGTTGCATTGTTGAATTGATTCAAAATTGAAATCAATTACCCTATTAAAAAGGTAATGTACAATCATGGATTGTCCGTCATTGAATGTGAATTGTTCTTTTAGCTCAACTATGATCATCGCTATCGATTTTAAAGCTGAAAGCGATTATCAAGCACAAGGTGATGGTGCAAACAAAATCAATCACAACTTTCCATTCAATAAAGTATACAAACTTATATTTGACTTCACCACGTTAAACAAGATGAAAAAACACTTTTCCTAATGATAACATTCCTATTGACAGATGAACTTATCAACTTAAAGCAATTATTAATTGATTACTATCTAAACAAAATTAAAATGTATGTGAAAATTTTCATGCCCCCGTAAACGAAGTATCGGGGGTATATAGTTTGTGTCTTGTCCATCCGTCTGTCTGTCTCTCTAGCTTTTTGTCTGTTTGTCCGCAAAAACTTTAACCTAGCCCATAACTTTTGATTTAGTGGAGTTATGACTTTCATATTTCATATGTGTATTCCTTGTGACAAGACCTTTCTTTGGGTACCACCAAGTTTGACCTTTTGACCTTGGAGTTTGACCCACTTTTACATGAAAATTTTAAAAGTTTACTTTGGCCATATCTTTTGAACAGTAGACACCAGGACATTTATACTTCACATATGTAATGTTTGTTAAAAGACCTTTCACTGGATACCATTAACTTTGACCCTTTGACCTTGACCTTGTAGATTTCTGTACTTGTGAAATAACTTTATCCTTGGCCATAACTTTTAAATGTTAAGGAATTGGGCTTTCATACTTCATATATGTAATCCTTGTGAGAAGACCCTTCATTTGATACCAAGAACTGTGACCCTTTGACCTTGACTTTCGAGATTGACCTACTTTAGAAAAGCAAACCTTGACCATAACTTTTAAAGAGTTAGGGCTAGAGCTTTCATACTTTACATATTTGATCCTATGATATATGACAAGACCTTTCCTTTGATAACAATAACTTTGACCCTTTGACCTTGAAGTTTGAATTACTTTTTAAGAAATTGAACGTTTACCATAACTTCTGAACGGTTAGGGCTTGGGCTTTCATGCTCTAAATAAGTATTTTATATGGCAAGACCTTTCATTTGGTACTAATAACATTGATCTTGACCTTGGAGATTTTTGTACTTATTAAAAAACTTTAACATTATCCTACTTTCAAATTTCACAATTGTTTTCCAGTGAGAATACCCTACTTTTGGTACCAATTAAATAAATTTGCATTTAAGAAAAGCTTAATCTTTGCTATGTTGCCATACGGGGGCACCAGTGTTTTACAAACACATCTTGTTTTCATTGGTGTTTTTCTAATCAAAAAAGAGTAAAAAAATAACTCTGGTATATAACGGGGGGAATTGACAAATACTTGTTGTGTTTATTTTTTATTGATTATATGGCGAGAGGCAAATTCCCCTGTTTCTGTGCGTCAACTTCAGGTTGATACTGCTCACCCCTCCATGGCTCCTGATCCCACCTCTAGTGTTTAAAACGTCCGTGTATTCTCTGCTCCTGATATCATTGATTAATGGACTTTTGAGATTGAAAACAGCTCGTTTTCTCCATATATTTCATTGTACATTATATTGTTTTCAGTTACATAAGCAACATTTATAAACATTGGCAACATTACATATTAGGGATGTCAACGAGTACCCGGTTGACCGGGTACTCGATCGAACGTCCTCGTCCCGGACCATTATTTTTGATTTACTTTGTTTGTTTTCACTGAACAAACATCGTTTAAGGTCTATTGTGTTTAAATAAGTTGGATGATTTTGTCAATTTTCCTAGAAGCCGTAAGTTCTCGGACAAGAGACAGATATTACACGTGCGATTGTTGATATCGTTTGTTTGATTACACGCCAATACAAATGGTTGAAGGCAAAGGCTTTTAAAAACTGATGTCCATCGTTGCACTAAACTACAAAATACCGTGCCGAAATACTTTATAATATAGGAGTGAAAAAGTGTGCAAAAATCGTAAATCATCTCTGTTATGAGAACTTGTTTACTTGTTATACCCCCCGCTTGAAAAGCGGGAGGGTATATAGTAATCGTTAATTCCGTCCGTCCGTCCGTCTGTTACGCTTTAGAGTACCTATCTCTTATCCGCAACTCCTCTTATACCACTCAGTGAAATTTAATGAAACTTTCACAGAATCTTTATTACATATTGCCATTGTGCACCTCCTATTTTACTTTTTGATCTGACACATATTTTGGGTTTACCGGCCATGGCAAATCATGGACTTTGTCATCAGTTATAACCATATGGGAAGCGGGGGGTATCATTTAGTGAGCTCATTGCTCACAGTACCTCTAGTTCATTTTTATTTACACTTTTTACCGAGTACCCGGGTACTCGATCGGAAAAACGTCCGGGTAACCGAGCATTAAAAATTGACCGATTTGACTTCCCTATATCATATACATGTATACCAGGGTAAAGATCAAAATTAGCATATAAATATATTTTGTAAGTAGTACTAAGAATCATTTTCTGTCCCAATCACCCCTCTGAAAGACGAAATTGAAGAATTAGGTAAGGTTTTAATAGAAATCTTGCCCTGTGATTTCCTTAAAAATTAAACTGTAATAAAAAATAAAAACACACGCTTTCTGAATCATTGAAATTCCATGCAAAAAAAAAATCATACAAATTATTTTACTCCCATGTATTTTTAAATGCTAATTGTGACGTCATAAACATATGCATTTCCCCGTTTTTTTAAGTTGCAGAAGACTCCAATTTTCAATGGAACTTTCTTTCAGCAATGGAATTTTCTTTCGTAAATGTTGTGTACAGGAATCGCCCACAAAGATTTAGATATATCTGATTTTTTCATTGAATTTTGCACAATATATCCAAAAACTGAAATGGGCGACGGCTGTGGACACTATTTTCTAAAGGAAAATAAACCTTGAAATGTGTCATTTTGAGGCTTTTCTGTTTAAAATAGGTAAATGTATCACAAATTAATAACGTCATGTCTTCAGAACTATGTTTGTTATTGAAATGCACTCCCAACCACTATTGATATAATCATTTCAATAGTGGTCGTATTTCAATAGTGATTACTAACTTTGTTTGCTATTGAAATGCACTCTCAACCACTATTGCTATAATCATTTCAATAGTGGTCGTATTTCAATAGTGGTTGCTATCTATGTTTGTTATTGAAATGCACTCTCAACCACTATTGATATAATTATTTCAGTAGTGGTTGTATTTCAAAAGTGGTTACTAACTATGTTTGCTATTGAAATGCACTCTCAACCACTATTGATAAAATTATTTCAATAGTGATTGTATTTCAATAGTGGTTACTAACTATTTATGCTAGTGAAATGCACTCTCAACAACTATTGCTATAATCATTCCAATAGTGGTCGTAGTTCAATAGTGGTTGCAACACAACCTTTTAAATTTTGACAATTCTCAGTATTCCTTCTCCACTTCAACTTGTTTTGAAATATTGTAACGACGGTCTGTCTGATAATTGATTTAGCTTAACTTTAATAAGATATAAAGACAGAAGTATTTATGAAAGAGTTGTGACCAATAAATTGACAAACGGACAAAACAGAT